AATGCGCTATAAATTTAATCTCTAATAAGCAAACAAAAATTCTTTATGCATTTAAAAAAATTATATTCTCTTATTTAGACATTATGTGCAATACTTCACATCATTCTTAAGTTAATAAATATTTATCTTATTCTATTATATTTAATATCCAATTATTTATTTATTATAGTAATGACCATAAAATATTATATATCAAAATATGTCATTTATTTGATGAAATACTCACTTGTATATATTTTATTCACTTAATTTCATTTTTAAATTCTATTTTAAATAAATAAAAATAGTGGTTTATGCTAATTTTATTTATTATTATATAATGCTTCTAATTACACTTGTTAATTTATAACTAACACACCACACTCGGTACTCACTTGCAAGACGCAGCAAATTACTTAAAGATAATTTTAAAATATTCTAATTTATTTCAATAACAAGTTCTTTTATTTCTTTTCTTTATATAATATTGTCATAATTCACTTAATTCATATACGAATTTTTTTCACTTTCATTTTCCCCGCAATCATTTTGCTTGTTGAACACTTGGATTTGGATTAAGATTAAGATTCAGATTCAGTGTGAGATTTGAATTCACTAAAACCACCTCTTAGGAATGAATGGAGAAAATTTTCACACCATTGTGTGGAAACTTCAAACTGCAATATCTAACAGTCCGCAAATTACTTATATACGTCAGTTCTATTTATCTTATTCTATAAAAAAATTGAATGAGAATTATAATTAAGCCCGTAAGAAGCTAGTCCACATATATACTGCTAATGTAACAAAGAAATTGAGAATTATAATAAATATTTTGTACTTTGTTAAACTGATCATTTTAATTATAAATTATACTCGACAGACATAAACCGATCAGGCTAATAATAAATTTTATTTTTTTTATAATATTAGAAAAATACCAACACATATATATGTAAATTTATCTCTTTAAGTGTAAGATTATTTGGGTCCTGAAAAGGACCATTGGGCAATATATTATTGCATTATTAAATCAATAATTGATTATTTGCTTAACCTCCAAAACCGTATAAGGTACGGCCTTGTCTCTTTAAAGCATATACGACATCCATGGCTGTAACAGTCTTCCTTTTGGCATGTTCTGTGTATGTAACAGCATCACGGATCACATTTTCCAAAAATACTTTCAATACTCCACGAGTTTCTTCATAAATCAAACCAGAAATACGCTTAACTCCGCCTCGGCGAGCTAAACGTCTGATAGCTGGTTTCGTAATACCTTGGATGTTATCACGAAGAACTTTGCGGTGACGCTTAGCACCACCTTTTCCTAATCCTTTGCCACCTTTACCACGACCTGTCATTTTGTATTTAAATTTTTATAGATATGGTAGAACCGTTCGAATTCAAATTCAAACAATAAATGAAGTGACGACGGATGATTGACGACTATTTATAGAAAATATAAGCACTACGAAAGATATGAAAAATATTGGGTAAAACAAAACAAAACATAAGAAAACAAAACAAAAAGAATAAGCAATATGAGAAACAATGAATGTTAAAACATGTGAATAGTTGAAACAGAACATCCAGGTATGATGAGAAAATTGAGCTATTCAATTGCGCTATTTTTTAAAATACCATATTGTAACATATCTCATAAATTATGGCTCGTACAAAGCAAACTGCTCGTAAATCGACTGGTGGTAAGGCACCACGAAAACAATTGGCTACCAAAGCCGCACGTAAAAGTGCACCAGCTACTGGAGGTGTGAAAAAACCACATCGTTATCGTCCAGGAACTGTAGCTTTACGTGAAATTCGTCGCTACCAAAAGAGTACTGAACTCTTGATTCGCAAATTGCCATTCCAGCGTTTGGTCCGTGAAATTGCACAAGATTTCAAAACTGATTTACGTT